TAATATATATATACTATATATATATATATATATATATATATATATATATATATATATGCACTTCTAAGTAAATATTTTTAAACTCTTGGCACTCGCTTCCCACTACCAGATCTAGTTAGATTTTTGCAGCGAACGTAAAACCACCGCATTTTATAATAAACAATTGTTTCATGCGGGCTAGACCGCATTTGTATAATATGCGGTTCAAATGTATAAAGCACCCATCTTAAAGATGAATGCAAATATGTGGTCCATCAAAAAAACAATTACATCAATCCAAATGTTTTCTTAATATAATTATTATTTCTAATTTTCAAAATTTATTTAATTTTTTATATTCATGATCTCCATGTTAAAGATTATATATTTTCTAAAAATTAGGATCAAATCATATTTAAAAAACATATTTATTGCCAAGCCCACATTTGTACATGTGCGGGCTTGGCCGCATGCTAACTGTGTCCTTTTATAATTCGATTGCTATCTGTTCGCCATTGGAGATCACAAATCGTGCCAACTTTTGGCCAAAAGTGGCGTAATCTTTGGCTGGCCATGCTTAGAACTGCACGACTCAAATGGCAACACGTAACCTTGGTTTGCAATAAGCTTTTGCTGAATCCTTCTCAAAAACTTTAAATGATCTTTTACGACAGTATTCTACTGTGTGTTCCTTATGACTGGGTGACTGCCAATCCAACTAGGTTAATCTCCATCGGCAGTCATTGGGAACAAACGGGGGATATCCCTGCAATCTACCATAGAACTTAACACGATTGGTCCCCAGTCCACTTCTAATGGATAGTTCAGGAAAATGAGCAACCATCCTTCAGCTTAAAAAAACTGTAGCATTAATGGATATATAGCAAATCATCTCCATGACATGAAAGTATAAAATGAAACCAAACCCACCCACCCCCTACCCCCCCTGCCCCTGGGGGGATGTGTGCGAGAGCGTTTGTTTGTGTGTGTCTGTGTTGTGCACATGCGTATCAAATAACCAATAAACAGCATAAATCTCAACCATTCAACAATATATACAAGAGATTAATGTTTCCAAACAGCCCAACTAAAATTGTATAGAGAAAACACCATATGATCCTAAACCTGAGAGACCAACCTTTTCACAATGTCACATAGATGGCATGAAAACCAGACATAGCCAAAACTCCTCAACGGCTTTCATCACTTACTCTTCATTGGCAGGGAGAAAGAAATCAAACCTCACGTCAACCGAGCCTGACTTCTCTCCCGTATCCTTGAACTCGATATTGCTTATTCCCCTGTAACTGTCCCCAGAATCTTGATATTCTGGTTTTACCCTCCTGACTGGAACAGTAACCGAATAAACTGTCCCTAAATCCGGGTCAGTAGAAACACTCAATTGAACCTTGTCTTGAGATTCTATCTCTACAAAGTTAGACAGTGCCCCAACAATGTTGCTAACTATCTTACGCTTTGCTTCATCACTCACTGCACATCGATCGGAGAATAGGATCATCTTTAGCCTTTGCTTTGCAATCTTAGCATTGGTGCTCTTCTTCACGATGGTTGGAAATAATATTTTCCAAGCCAAGCTGAGGCGCTCGAAGAAGCTCATCTTCACTGCATCAAGAAGGAGGCCCTCGGCCTCTTGGCTAGTGGTTGAGCTTGAGAGGTTGTCTCCAAGGCTGAAACTTTGGTGAGAAATTTGTTGGGGATGGTGGCTTTCCACCGCAACGCAGGGCCATTTGGGAATGTGTCCGAAAGTATGCATTCCTCTTATAGGGTTACCGGGAAAACCAACCTGGGAGAAGTGACAAATGTGGGGAGAGAGAGAGAGAAAGAGAGAGAGAGAGAGAGAGAGAGAGAGAGAGAGAGAGAGAGAGAGAGAGAGAGGAGGAGGAGGAGGAGTAGTAGTAGACGTAGTAGTAGTAGTAGTAGTAGTAGTAGTAGTAGTACGAGTAGAGTAGAGTAGTAGTAGTAGTAGAGTAGAAGTAGTAGTACGTA